AGGTCTGTGGCTGTGGGTAGTGATGAGAACATGAATGATGTTGTTGTGTACCACAGAGGCTTCAGGTCCTGCAAGGATACAGCTGTGGGAACAGTCACCGAGACGAGGAATTTTGGCATCAGTGTGACAGAAGCCATGCTTGGGGTTATTACTGAAGCCGACAAAGAGATCGAGCTGCAACAGCAGACCATAGAGGCCTTAAAGGAGAAGATCTACCGCCTGGAAGTGCAGCTTAAAGAAACCACCCATGACCGGGAGATGACTAAGCTCAAACAAGAACTACAGGCTGCCGGATCCAGAAAAAAAGTTGACAAGGCCACAATGGCCCAGCCGCTTGTCTTCAGCAAGTTGGTGGAGGCACTGGTGCCAACCAGAGAACAAATGGTTGGCAGTCATGTGGACACAAGGGATTCATGCGTTGGGACCTCTGTGCAAACTAGTAGTGTAGGCACCTCCTGCCATCCTGACCGCAAGAACCAAGTGGTGGGGCCTGAGCTGCCTATGAATTGGTGGGTCGTGAAGGAGAGGGTAGCAGTGCATGACCGCTGTGTAGGGAGGTCTGTTGAGACTTGTGACCGGAGTGTGGGTGTGGAAGTCAGTGTCTGTGAAACAGGCAGCAACACAGAGGCTTCTGGGAGCGACCTGACACTCCTTAAGACAAACTTGAACCTCAAAGACGTGCGGTCCATTGGCTGTGGAGATTGTCCCGTTGATGTGATTGTCTGCCTTCCCAAGGAGTGCACCTCCCGAAGCACAAACACAGAGGCTGTAGGCCAGGAGGAAGCAGCTGTCATGGCGGTACCCCATACCACAGACCAGCACACCAGCACGAATCTGGAGCGGGTGGACCAGTGCACTAACACGGAGGCAGCCACCCTGGTGGAGTCTTGTACCAACACTCTCCTCAGCACTCTGGACAAGCAGACCAGCACCCAGACTGTGGAGATGCGAACGGTGGCCATTGGAGAAGGCCGTGTCAGAGACATCAACCCCTCCACTAAGACTCGGTCTGTTGGTGTCGGGACAGTGCTGTCTGGCAATTCTGAGTTTGACAAGCCATGTGCCGCAAAGACCAAAGAGTCAGGTGTGGGACAGATAAATGTTCACGACAACTATCTAGTCGGTCTCAAAATGAGGACCATAGCCTGCGGGCCTCCACAGTTGACTGTGGGACTGATGGGCAGCAGGAGGAGCGTGGGTGTTGGGAACGAGCCTGTCGCGGATCTCCTGGAGGATCCTCCTCAGCCTCAGGCTGCATCTGGAATGATGACTGGCTTGGATCACTACATCGAGCGCGTGCAGAAGCTGCTGGCAGAGCAGCAGACATTGCTGGCTGAGAACTACAGTGAGCTGGCCGAGGCCTTTGGGGAGCCTCATTCACAGATCGGCTCCCTCAACTCACAGCTCATAAGCACCCTGTCGTCCATCAATTCCGTCATGAAGTCTGCAAGCACTGAAGAGCTCAGGAACCCTGACTTCCCGAAAACCAGTCTGGGTAAAATTACAGGTAGGTGGTACCCCCAGGGACCTGAGAATGGGGGCATGGGGAGGCCTAAAAGGAATAGAGGTTTGTGTAGCTCAAGGCTCTGAAGACCAGGAAGTCCAAAGCATGGCACCAGCTTCCAGCAAGGTCTGTTTTTTCTCTGTCAGAGCAAAGAATGGTGAGATGGAGCAAGAATGTACCCATTCCCAGGATAGCAACATCAGTCTACTCATGAGGGAAGGTAGAGGATACGTTTTCCACCATGAACTGTTGCGAACACATTCAAACCTTAAGAGGAAAGGCGGGGACAATGTCTTTCTAGGAAGAAAGGCTTTTCTTTTTTTTTTTCTTTTTTTTTTTAAAGCTGCTGGAACCATTTTTTGGCGAGAGCTTTGGTATGATAATGAGGTGAATGCAAACTAAGACCAAGATACATAAGCAGCCTTGCTGATCTACCTAGCTCCTTTGGTCCCTTGCTTCAGGCTGACACCGGGAAGCAAGTCCATGAGACCTGGCTACCCTGGAGATGTCCTCTGAGGCATTATATGATGCTTCGTGTCCATCTTCTGGTTCTGTATTGGTTCATTTTCTATAGTACTGCTTTTAAAACGCCTGCATTGTTTATACACATAATTATCAGTATATGACCAATTAACACTTCTAGAGGGAAATGGTCTCGGTTAACACTTTATGAGAGGATTGGCACTTCATCGACTTATTAAGATGGCAAGTAACCTTTGAATTACCACTTCATTTCAGCACAAGCTCCAGGATAGTTTAGGGTGTTCAACCAGACAGAATGCCTCCCTGCTGGGGTCACCAGGCCACAAGTGATAAACAAGAGAGCTGTGTTAGGTCAGTAAGCAGCAAGTGCTGTGGAGAATTTGCTTCCAAGTTATAGGGACAGCAAGTGAAGTGCTGGAGCGGAAGGCATGCTTTTGAGAAAAGCAACCCATAAGCAAAAACTGACAACAGGGGTTTTTCTCCTTTGTTCATGTTGACAGGCACATTATCCTTTTGTTTTGTCATATTCATTGAGAATCCTGCTCATCTGTTTTTCTTTAAGTTGAAGCGATCCTTGAGCCATCACTCTGGAATATTTCGGGATGTAGCATCTCCCCCAAGAGGCTCAGTAAAATGACTGCTCTTGGAACCAGGTGCTCTAAGTCTCTGACAGTACACAGTGCCCTGCACAGTGGGCACAGTCCCAGGTTTCCATTCCCTGACGCTGTAGTTCTCATGACCCAGCATTACCTAGGGAGAAGGATGCCCATCAAGTTAATTTGAGGAGGGGGGTATAGATATTAGTAGGACACCCACAGGGGTCTCAGTGTGCCCCTGTATTCCAGAAAGGAACAGCCATGAGAGTAGAGTAACATAAGCCCTTTCTGTATCTTCCTGGGTTTATGTGTTTAAACCTGAATGATCATTGGCTTTTAGTATCTGTGCTATAGGACAGAGTTTATTGTGAAAGAAAAAAAATGCAACTGGTATTTATGTGGGTTTGCCTTTTAGAATTTAGATACTCAGATGTACAGAGAAGTCATTTTAGAATAAACAGGATTAAATTGATGTGCAGGCTTACATGTCTACCTCTTCATCCTTTAAAAAAAAAATCATGATGTCAGATGTTGATGTCACAGTAAACTTCAGTGCCTCAGACACAGATGGCAGAGGGGTGATAAGAACATACTCCTCCCAGCCTTCCTCCTCCCAAAACTGCTATTCCACATTCCTGTCAAGAACGCTCCGCTGTATCCCTGGAGTCATTTCTGTGCCCTCCTAAACATGGAGACTGGGAAGTTTTATTTGATACCACAGTGTGTTTTGGGGCTATGTCCAGTCACGCTGACATTCCATACATCAGTGTGTAGCTCTGACCCTCAATAAACCTAATTAATCAGCTAATACACACGAGATCTGTGGCAGCTGTGAATGAAAGGAAAAAATCCTCTCAGTAGCAGGTAGTCTGACCCGTCAGAGCACACAAGAACAACCTTAAAGGCCGTTTATATAACTCATGCCACATATGTATGTAACCAAGACTTAATAAAAAAGGAATTAGGTCAAGAATTCACTCCACATTGGATGTTGGCATATATGGGCTGGAAATTTAGGCAGCCTGGTAACAGGAAAGTAATAGCATTCTTAATATCTGTAAGCTGTGTCTGAGGAAGTGTCACAGGACACTGTGGCTTACCATACCTACTTTATAATCTGGAGAATTGCTCACACAGTGTAGAATACATATCATTGATAAAAGGCATTCATTCATACATGCTTATCCTTAAAACAAAACAAAAAAAGCAACACCATTAGGGTCTGACAGGTCTCAGAATGTCAGTAGTCACCAGGGAGTCTGAGTCAGATTCTGTCTGCAGTCGTCTTTGCCTCTTCGTGTGGTTGTGATGAAGAATCAGGGGTGTAAGAGGGAAGTATGGTGCAGTCTGCTGCCGCTGCTGTCGTCATTCTTTCAAAAGTGGGCTCGTTCAGAAAATTTGCCAAGCAAAGTTATGCGAGTAACCTTTGTGGGTGTTGTTGTTGCTTTAAGTTTTGTATATGTGATTGTTTTTTGCCTGAATGTATGCCATTCAGGAATGACTGGTTCCTGCAAAGGTCAGAAGAGGGCATCAGATAACCCTGGACTTAGAATTCTAAATGTTCATGTGCTGGGAATCGAACTAGGTCCTCAGGAGCAAAAAACGCTCTTTAGCGTCTTGCTAGATGCTGGTGGTGTAGTGGTGGCGGTGCATACCTTTAATTCAGGGACTCAGGAGGCAGAGGTAGGCAGACCTCTGTTTGAGTTTGAGTATGGCCTGGTCTACAAAGTGATTTCCAGGACAGCCAGGGCTACACAGAGAAACACCCTGTCTCAGGGGAGAGGAAAACTCAGAGCCATCTAATCAGCCAATACCCTTTTAATCTATCACCCTCCCTCCCCCCCTGCCCCATTTGTCTTTTGAGACAGGATTTCTCTGTGTAATCCTGACTGTCCTAGAACTTAGAGATCTGCCTGCCTCTACCTCCAGAGTGCTGGGATTAAAGGCGTGCACCACCACCCGGGTTAATCTCAAATGTTTATCTTCATAATTCTACCTTGTGAATTACTCATACACGAACACATACACCAATTATTATGCCTGTCCAACTAACATTTTTATCAAGATAAAGAAATATTATAGGTAAATGGGGGATATGATAAACTGTCAGAACATGGCCAATCAAAATTAGTATTAAAGCTCAATACAAAGTGTCTTATACCCTGTCTGTAAGTTCATTCTTTCTAGGGTTAAGGGTTCGAAGACAGAATCACTTGTCTGCCGGCAAATTATTGCTGCTTCCTCTTCCCTCCCCCACCCGAGACAGGGTTTTTCGGTGTAGCCCCAGCTGTCCTGGAATTAGCTCTGTAGATCAGGCCGGCCTAGAACTCACAGAGATCTGCCTGCCTCTGCCTCCCAAGTGCTTCCAATAAAGGTGTGTGCCACCACTGCCTGGCTGTAAACTGTTATTTTTAACCACGTCATCACACAGAATACTCTCGTTCTATTCAAGATTGCCTTGGGAGTGTGTGATTGTAAGTTAGCCCTTTAGAAAAACACGAAACATATGTTCTCCTGAAGTGAACATTACGTTCCCTGTGTGTGCTGGCTATGTACAAGACTGCGGGTACTGGCTTGTGTTTTAGAAACATGCTTTCTTTTTCTAACGAAATGCAACTCCTGAATCATGCCATTCCCCTGTGTATTTTTCTCACCTAAGTGGCCATAGGCATTCTCCTAGGATTTGAGGGACAGTGTGTTATGGCTTTTGAAGCAGCAGAAGTTGGTACTGACTAGAAGTATT